GATGATGATGATGATGACGATGACGATGACGATGATGATAATGATGATGATGATGATGATGATGATGATGATGATGATGATGATGATGATGATGATGATGATGATGATGATGATGACCATGATGATGGTGATGGGGGAGGAGGAGGGCGAGGAGGAGGATGAGGATGGGGGAGGAGGAGGAGGAAGGGCAAGAGACGGGGGAAGCTGCGGCCCTCCCTCCCTCCTCGTCCTCCTCGTCCCTCCCCTGCTCCCTCCTCGTCCACCTCGTCCCTCACCCCCCTCCTCGTCCTCCTCGTCCTCGTCTTCCTCGTCCCCCCCCTCCCCCGCGGGGGCGACCGGCCTCGCCCATGGCGGCCTCTGCAGGGTGGCCTCCCGCAAGGGGAGGGGGGCTGCCGCGCCGCGCCGGGGTCGACAGAGCGGGGGGGGGGCGGGGGATGGCAACATGCAGGAATAGAGGGCAGAACATCCACCCCGATGATAACCACCCCAGCGCGCGAAGCCGTTTAGCAAACGCGCCCAAAGAAGGAATCGAACAGGGCAGGGCTGTTTAGTAAACGCCCAAGGCCGTTTAGTAAACGCCAGTTGTCCGGTCGGGGTGGTTTTCCTCCTTTGAAACATGCAGGGAGGCGGTGGTTCGAGGCTCGGGGATCGAGTGTCGACGGTTACAGTCAACCCACACAATCGGTAAGGGTGCGCGGTGAGGCTGCAAGGGCCCCTGGAAGGCCATGCCGACACTTTGTGGGCGGTGCGGGGCCAGCGAAAGCGGCCGAGGATTGGGCGAAGGGGAAGGATGCATGGGTAACCTTGGACAGTTGCTAATCCTTACTATGCGTGTCGACGGTTGTTCCCCAACAGTGCTTGCACTTATGGGCTCGCACTTCTGCCCTGAGGAACTGGGCCGTGTGGCCTGGGGGCGCCGGCCATCCCCGCCAACGGCGGTGCCGCGTGCGCGGTCAAACGCCCGTCCTTGAGGCGGAGGCCCATGAAAAACCGCCATGGATGAGATGGGTCCTGGAGTATCGGGTTGGGCGAAAGTGGGTTCTCCCCATCTCGCACTTAAGTGGGGGAGGTCTGATTGATGGGGGGGCTGATTTGAGCTGTTCTGGAGGGGTCCGAGGGGTCCGGGCAAAAGGCCGCCCTGTCGCGGCTGGTCTGGAAAGGGGGTCGGGGTATGCCGCTGGGGTGCACATCCCAGCGGGCGTCGCATGGCTGAACCACTTTGGGCCAGCACTGGGCCGCGATAAATTGGAGGACGACAAATGGGGGGGCAGCGAGGACTGTAGAAAAGGAGCCCTTCATGGCCCTCAAGCGGGCCCTTTCGGGCTCAAAAAGGGGTCTTTAGGGCCCCAAAAGTGCACCTTTCTCTCTCTCTCTCTCTCTCTCTCTCTCCCCCCCCCATCTATGCCAAAAGAGGCCCAGACTGACCTAGAAGCCGGATCCAATCGTGGTGACGAGCGTGCCCTCCGAAGCCCAGACAGGCCCAGAAGCGTCCCAAGACCTTGAGCATCGATCCTTGACGACGACCAGAATCGAGGCGGCGAGGAGATGAGCTGAGGCCGCCGACGACGGCGACGACGACGACCACGTCGACGTCGACGATGACGACGACGACCATGACGACGACGGCGACGGCGGCGACGGCTCCCGGCCTCCGTGAGCAGCGCCGACGCCCGTCTGAGCGGGCCGCGCCATCGGGCGCCCCGCGGGGGCGGGGGGGCCCCGCCAGAGCCCCTGGCACCGCCAGGCCGCGGTGGCCGCCGCCGCCGCCGCTTTCGCCGCCGCCGCCGCCACCGCCGCCGCCGCCGCCGCCGCCGCCGCCGTCGTCGTCGTCGTCGTCGTCGTCGACGACGTGGTCGACGTTGTCGTCGTGGTCGTCGTGGTCGTCGTGATCGTGGTCCTGGTCCTGGTCGTGGTTGTCGTCGTCGTCGTCGTCGTGGTCGACGTGGTCGTCGTGGTCGCCGTGGTCGTGGTCGTCGCCGTCGCCTCGTCGTCGTCGAGCGTCGGGGTTCGAGGTCTCTGGGCGCCCTTGGGCCTTCGAGTGCGTCCTCGTCGCCACGGCTGGATCCGCCTCGAAGTCCTGGTCAGGATGCGCCCCAGGAGAGGGTCGGGAGGTCGTAGTCCCCTTCGTCATCTTCTAGCTCGTCGTCTTTGTCGGCGTCCCCGTCCTCGTCCTCGTCTTTGTCGTCGTCGTCGTCCTCCTCCTCCTCCTCCTCCCTACCTATGCCAGCACCTCGTCATCTGCGTTCATTGCTGCACCGCACGGGAGTCCGAGGGTGGAGGATCGATGGGGGTCAGAGAGGCGCAGATCGCTCAGCGGGTGGATGTGTCGCGTGGCTAGCCTATTGATGGCCGACAGTCGGCGGAGTCCCAAAAAGAGTGGGACGCCGTCCCAGCCATCGTGCGCTCGAGGGCCGCGGTCACCATCTCCTCGCCGTTGCGCCATTTCAGGTCGACAGTCGCGTCGCTACACGCATAGGCGAAGGCGTCGTAGATGTCAATGGGGATGGCGTCGTCCTCCAGCTCCCCATCCAGCTCCTCATCGGCGTAGGTGTCGATCGGGGTTTCCGTCGTTGCGCGCACGTCCTCCGTGGTGATGGTCGCGTCCACCAGCATGGCCGTGTCCGACTTCCCGCGCTCGTGCATCGTCTCGTAGCACGTGGGGCAGCAATCGTCGTCGTACTTCTCGCTATTCACGTGCGGCATCTTCACGGCGCAGCTGGAGCAGAGGATGTCGCTCATGCCGTCCAGGTCACAAACGTCGTAGGTCTTCGACTCGATGCGGCCATCGGGGACGCTCACTAGCATGTCCTTGTCCGACTTCCCGTGGAAGAGATGTTTCGGCTGGCCGTCGGATGCGTTCGCCAGCATGGTCTTGTCCGGCCTCCCTCGCTTGTGCATCGTCTCGTAGCGCGTTAAACAGAGATGGCCGTCGTACTTCTGCGAAGTCTTCGCGGCGCAGCTGGAGCAAAAAACTCCGTTCGACGCGGCGTACAACTCACGAGCCTGGGGGCTCTCTGGGACGTCATGGATCATCGGCTCGATGCCGTCGCCATCGGAAACCCTCACCAGCATGCCCTTGTCCGACTTCTCGTGGTGAAGGTTCTTCGGCGCGCTCTGCGGCTCGCTGGTGTCGCCGTGGGGGATCCTCGGGTCGTCGTTCAAGTCCACGAGGCCCGGCGGAAGGCCGGCAACAGCTCCAGTCAGGAAGAGCCGGCGTCGCAGTCGTGCTCGGTGGCGTTGGGCCCGTGAGCGCCTCACCTCCAATGGGTGGGCGCCGCAGCGGTCATCCGCATTAGCTGTCATGTGGGAACGCTCCAAAGAGACACATCTTGAGAGAACAGGCCTGCTTTGGAACAGTGAGAACAAACAAGCCAAAGCTTGAGAACACAGCTTTTTTGAGGAGAGCTGAACGCTGAAAAAATTTAAAAAAGAAGGGCTCAGGACAGGAAGAAGGAGGAGCCAGAAGGCGGCGGCAGGCGACGGCGGCGGCGGCGTCGACTACAACGGCGGCAGCGGCGACGACCGCCGCGGCCCGACTCGGCTCGGATCGCTGGCGGGCTTGGCCGCCCCGGCCGACGGCCCCCTCCTCCTCTCACCAATTCATCCCGCCTCCCTCTCCTCGTCCTCAGGTCCTCCTCCTCCTCCTCCTCATCCTTTTCCTCCTCCTCCTCCTCAACCTCTTCCTCGTCCACCTCCTCCTCCTCTTCTCCTCCTGCCTCTCCTCCTCCTCCTCCTCCTCCTCCTCCTCCTCCTCCTCCTCCTCCTCCTCTCCTCCTCCTCTCTCCTCCTCCTCCTCCTCCTCCTCCTCCTCCTCCTCCTCCTCCTCCTCCTCCTTCCTCTCATCCGCCGGATGGCGGCGGGGCGGCGGCGGCGGCCTCCGGAGACCGCGGGCGGCGCCCGCTGCCAGGCCCGGGGCGTCGCCGAGTCGACGAGTCGACGGGCCGGCCGAGGGGGCAGGGGGGGCAAACGGAGGGGAAGCATGAGGAGGAGAAGCCATGCATGAATGAGATCTCTGAGAAGGGAATGGCAATTAAGGTGATGCCAGGCGAATAATGGGGATGGCGATGATGATGATGATGATGATGATGATGATGATGATGATGATGATGATGATGGTGACCATGTTGATGATGATGACTATGATACGCTGAGCGCTGGTGATGAGGATGGCCCATGATAATGCAGATAAAGATGATGATAATGATGAGGAGGATGATGATGAGCACGAGTATTCACGCAGCTGTTGGCATACAAAGCGTTTGAGTGCTGCTCTCCTCCAGCAAACTGAAACCGAAATGCGACGCAATCGCGTGGCCAAGAGGGCTCGACTCTCGAGTCGAGAGTCTGACGTACTCGTTTCTATGTCGCTAAACCGCAAGCGACTGCAGCGGCACCCCAGCCGCGATGACTCTCCTATTGAAAGTCAGCATGCGAAACTGTGACGAACGACCTCTTAGCACAATCGATTGCAAAACACATCACTGCATGGCATATGCAGTCGGCGGGCGGCAACGCATAAAGCTCCAGCGACAGTGAATAACTTCACTTCACTGGCTCGCAAACTCACACGGGAAAACGTGAACGTCAACCACCACAGAAATCACATGCGCCTGGAAAGGCCGCCCGGAGCAAAAGAACATAAATGTGGCGAGCGCGGCGAGCGCAACACGCATGGTGCTTGCGCCTGCGCCGCTTGACCATCCTCCTTCCCCCTTTGGTTTTCCTCATCGTTGACTCCTCGTCCTCCTCCTCCTCCTCATCCTCTCCTCCTCATCCTTCATCCTCCTCCTCATCCTCCTCCTCCTCTCCTCTCCTCCTCCTCCCTCCTCATCATCATCATCATCATCAGCATCAGCATCATCATCATCATCATCATCATCCTCCTCCTCCTCCTCCTCCTCCTCCTCCTCCTCTTCCTCCTCCTCCTCCTCCTCCTCCTCCTCCTCCCTCCTCACTCTCCTAGCTCCTCCTCCTCCTCCTCCTTCCCCCTCAGCGCTGGCTCAACGGAGGATGTGCCTCGGCCCATCATCCCGTGGATTCCTCGTCGCGTTCGGGAGCTTCTCCTCCGCGAACTGCGCGCGGGTCAGCTCCACGATGTTCTCGGTGCAGTCGACCGCCGCCGCCTCCGCGTCGCCGTCGCCGTCTGCGTTGGCGGACCTCGCGGCGGACTTCTTGGCGGCCTTCTCCTTGGCGATGCCCTGGACCTTGGCGCGGTGGATGGCCAGGAACGCCGGGTTCGGCACGAGAACCTTGATCTCGAGCTTCTTGCAGGCCACCTCGACGTCGACGGCCTCGATCTTCAGGACAGGCTCGGGCGTCAGCTTATCATCGGAGCCCCTCTCTTTGCGCACCGGGGCAATGGCCTTGGGGCACCACGCCGGGACGCAGATGGCGCTGCCCCGGGACGCCATTCCTTCGAGGGGGCAGGGGAGAGGATGGGAGCAGGGAGGGTGGGATGAGACAGAAAGGACACTCACGATAATCATTACCCCAGTGCGACCCTACCTAGAAGTTGGAGCCCCTAGCTATGCTATGCTATGCCATGCTATGCTGCGCTATGCTATGCTATGCTATGCTACGCTATGCTGCGCTACGCTAAGCTACGCTATGCTAAACTATGATATGTCATGATGCGATGTGCTATGCTAAGCTAGGCTAAGCTATGATATGTTGTGCTAAACTGCGCTATGCTATGTTATGATATGCGATGCTATGCTATGTTGCGCTGTGCTAGGCTATGCTGTGCTGTGCTGGCATGCGCTATGCTATGCTATGCTATGCGCTATGGTATATGCTATGCTGCACCGTGCTATGTTATGCTGGGTTATGCTATGATATGGTATGCTGCGCTACGCTATGCTACGTTATGCTGTGCTCAACTCTGCTAAAACTCAGCAAAGCTAAGATGACGGTAAACTAAGCTACGATAAACCTGAGTTGAGATGAAGCTAAACTAAGCTAAGATGAAACAAGCTAAGCTAAGCAGCTAAGATGAGATGATAAGCAACGCTAAGCTAAGGTGACTTAGCTGGGGGCACCGCGGGGCGGATGCTGGGGGAACCGCCCGGGGCGCTTTCCACTGCCGGGCCCCTTTAAGCCCAGAGAGTAAGAGCCCTTCTAGGCAGAGCCTAGGTAGGGACAAAAACGCGCGGTAGCCACGCGAAGGTGAATGCGCCAGGGGCGCAACGAGGGCGCAGCGGCATCTATCTATGCCCCCCCGCCCTACCTGCCCCCCTCCGCCCACGGGGGGGGGATATTTGAAGAGGATGCCGAGAATGAGGGGGGACAGGGGAGACCCCCCTCCTCCTCCTCCTCCTCCTCCCCCTCCTCCTCCTCCTTCTCCTCCTGCTCCCCCCCCATCCTCCTCCACTCCTCCACTCCTCCTCCTCCACCCCATCCTCCTCATCAGGACCCTCGGGGCTCATCGGACCACCCTCTCCTCCGTCCTCCTCTTCCTCTCTCCCTCCTCCTCCTCCTCCTATTCATCCTTTTTCTCCTCCTCCTCCTCCTTCTCCACCTCCTCCTCCTCCCCCCCTCCTCCCGCCCCTCCTTTTTCCTGCCCTCCTCATGCTCAGGCTCGTCCTCCTTCCCTCATTCTCCTCCCCCTCCTCCACCTTCTCCTCCTCCTCCTCCTCGTCCTCCTCCTCCTCCTCCCCATCCTACCTGCCCTTGTCATCTTTCCTTGTATCCTAACTTTCCTCCTCCTCCTCCTCCTCTCCTCCCTCCTCCTCTTCCTCCTCCTCCTCCTCCTCCCCCACCTCCCCTCCTCCTCCTCCTCCTCCCTCCTCCTCCTCCTCCTCCTCCTCCTCCTCCTCCACCTCCTCCTCCTCCTCTCCTCCTCCTCATCCTCCTCGCCCCCCCGCGTCCTGCAGTCGGGGAGATGTAGACGAAGTGATTGCCGATCTTGCCAGCGCAGTACATGTCCGAGACCTTCGTCGCGGGGGCCATGGCCGAGATCGAAACCTTCCCGATGAGGCAGAGCCGGAGGTTCATGAAATTCTCGCCCTCGACGTCGACGTACAAGCGCGGCTTGCCACTCAAGGCGCTGGCTCCGGGCTGGGCGGCCTTCTCCATGAGCAAGTTGCTGCCCACGTCGAAGAAGTTGCCCTGGGAATGCGAGCGCCACAGCGCGGTGATCTCAGCGGACGCCCTCTGCGCAAATACGTACGCATCCCAGGCTGATGTCACAGAACTGGAAGGTGGACTCTTCAAGGGCACGTAGGTCGCATTCTTCTTCCCGCCCGCCGGCGCCGCTGCCGCCATGGCTGCCTCCACGGCAGCGGCGATGTCGGACATCTCATTGCCATCGTCATTGTCGACAAGCAGGGCCTTCACGTCCATGCTGCGCTTCTGCGCCCACGAGTCAGTGAGCAGCGCAACAAGCTTCTCCTCGTCCATGTCCTCGATCGCGCAGCCCTCCTCGACGGTGATCCCCCGCTCCTGTGCGAGGCGCCGCACGGCTGACACGTCGCCGCGGACCTCGCCCAACTTCTTGTCGCCCTCGATCGCCGCTGAAGCGCAGCTGCATATCCTCGCCCAGAGATCGCACCAGCGGATCCTGCCGTGACACCTGGCATCTGCGGCTGCAACCTCGGCTTCGTACTTGCGGCAGATCTCCACCGTGGCCTGGAGCGCGGAGGACGCGGCCTGGAGGCGGGCAATCCTATCAACGTCGGGCTCGGGAAGCGCCTGCATCCGCTGGGCAGCGTCCTGGAGGCAGATGTCCGCCTCCTCGAGAAAGATGGTCATGTAGACGCTCCTCAAGAACAAGAACTCCTCGATGTCCATGCTGGAACCCGACGCTGGCCACAAGTCGCTCAACTCAGAAACCTAGCGGATACGGCGAGATGGTCGCGCGCGATTGCCGCGCAAACGCTGACCACTCGCGCGCCCAACGATGCCACGAGAGCGCGGCTCGCATCGTCGGGCGCGCGAGCGCTCAACGATGGCGCGGCAGTCGCATTGCCCGACCACCAACCTCGGCAGCCAACGCGAGGTCCGCCACGTGCTCCTGGCTGCGAGCCGTGTAGATCAAGGCTGCGACCTCCACGAACTCCCTCTCAATCGCGGACTTCATCACGCTCGAGTCGATGAGCTCCACGACGGCGGCGACGACGTCGACGTCCCCGCCGAAGGAAGCCTCGCTCATGAGGGTGGCGATCCCGTTCCACAGGAGGCCGCAAGCGGTAGCCAATCCCTTGTGAGTCCTCTTGATCGCAATCGGGCCTTGGTTCGGGGCAGAGACCGCGCTGGCGAAGGCCTTGAGGCGGTGCGCCAGTTTGTCATCAACGACCAGCATCCTCTTGACGGCAGCAACGGGCCCTAGACCAACGGGCATCGGGGCGTCGTCCAGCTGCTGGTGCTCCAACGAATCCGACGCAGGCTGCGTGGAGGCGGAGTCCACGGCAGCGTCCGGGTCTTTCTGAACGTGGTCGCGGTCTGCCAACGCGTGGGCTTTCACGAGCTTCTTCTTGATCATCTTCCGGAGCGTGTTCCACGAAGACACCTTTCGGAGATGGACCCGGGGATGGACAGACCCCCCTTTAGTCAAACGTTGTTTAGTGAACACGACCTGAGGCCCAAATTATCCCAGTGCGACCCTACCTAGGAGTTGGAACCCCTAGGAAAGCAGCATTAGTAGTAACAGTAACGCCAAGCTAAAGCTAAGCTAAAGCTAAGCTAAAGCTGAGCTAAAGCTGATCTAAAGCTAAGCTAAAGCTAAGCTAAAGCTAAGCTAAAGCTGAGCTAAAGCTGAGCTGAAGCAAAGCTAAAGCTAAGCTACAGCTAAGCTACAGCTAAGCTAAAGCTAAGCTACAGCTAAGCTACAGCTAAGCTACAGCTAAGCTACAGCTAAGCTACAGCTAAGCTACAGCTAAGCTAAAGCTAAGCTAAACGCTAAGCGAAAAGCTAAGCGAAACGCTAAGCTAAAGCTAAGCTACAGCTAAGCTAAAGCTAAGCTAAAGCTAAGCTAAAGCTAAAGCTAAAGCTAAAGCTAAAGCTCCCAGGGGACTGGGGGGAACCGCAGGGCGGGGACTGGGGGGACCGCCCGGGGCGCTTAGCACTGCCTGGTCCCTTTAAGCAAAGAGAGTAAGAACCCTTCTAGGCAGAGCCTGGGTAGGGAACCTGGCGGGAGCAAGCCTGGAAAACAAAGGGCCACGGCGCCCTCTCGAGAACCGAAAACCCGACAACTTACAATTCACTAATCGACGTGTCACTGCTGGGGGTTCTGTCCACCCCCGAACCTTCACCGTCGCAGCCGCCGCGCCGCTGCTGCCGTCCTTCTCCTTCTCCATGTCCACGTGGCCAACGAGCCCGAACGAGACGGCCTTGCCCTGGAGGGCCCACACAAGGTCGCGCTGGATCATATCATCGCTGACGCCCTGGAGCGTATAGGAGATCGCATTCCGCACGTCCTCCAAGAACACAACGCTCTTCCCATCGCTGTTCTGGGCAGCGAGAACCTCTGGTTGCCTCTTCGGCGCAGCTTTCCTCTTGGCGGTCTTGCGCTTCTTCGCGGGCGGGTTCTGCAGCTGCTGCTCACTGGGCGTCGGCGCCATCGAAAGCTGGAAGACCTTGGACTCCTTCATGCTGACCAGAAGATTCTTGAGCTTGTTCAGGGAGGCGCGGTTGGTCAAGATCCACGGGACAGAGTCGTTGGTGGGAATCGCCATGGCAAGAACCTCGGCTGCTCCCCCTCCTCCTCCGTTTCCCCGTCCTCCTCCTCCTCCTCCTTTTCCTCCTCCTCCTCCCCCTCCTCCTCCTCATTCCCCACGCCCCCCCACCTCTCCTCAGCTTCCCCCTCCTCCTCCTCCTCCTCCTCCTCCTCCCCCCCCTCTCCCCCGCCCCCCCCTCCTTCCCCCTCCTCTACCCTCCGCCTCCACCTCCTCTGCTGCCATGTCCTCATCCTCCTCCTCCTCCGATCCTCCGATCCCCCCCCCTCCCACCTAAAACGGCCCAGGCGAAATTGGACCCAGGAACCGACAACACGTAATCGTGCATGTCGGGCTCCGAGATGTAGCGCTTCAGCTTGGTTGTGATGACATCGTTGCATGCGAGGACGAGGTTGTGGTCGAGGTTCTTCTCGCTGAAGACGCAGTGCTCGTTGCAGTAAGTCTCATACTTCGCCCACAGACCAGACGCAGCCGGGGAGCGCAGCTTCGTGAAAGCCCTCCGGGCCTGAACGAAGTAGTTGTACTTCGAGAACACGTCCTCTCGAGAGTCCCGCGCGAGCAGACGGGGCCCCCTCATCATCCTCTCCTCCTTCCTCCTCCTCCCCCTCCTCCTCCTCCCTCCTCCTCCTCCTCCTCCTCCTCCTCCTCCTCTTCCTCTTTCTCAGCTTCCTCCTCCTCCCCCTCCTCCTCCTCCCCCTCCTCCTCCTCCTCCTCCTCCTCCTCCTCCTCCTCCTCCTCCTCCTCCCCCTCTCCCCCCTCCCCCCTCATCCTCATCCCCTCCTCCTCCCTACCTCCTCCTCCTCTTTCCTCCTCCTCCTCTTCTCCCTCTTCTCTTTCCTCTTCCTCCTCCTCCTCCTCCTCCTCTCCTCCTCCTCCTCCTCCTCCTTCTCCTCCTCCACCTCCTCCTGACTCCTCCTCCTCCCCCTCAGTCCTCCTCCTCCTCCTCCTCATCCTCATCCTCCTCCTCCTAACTGGCCCTCGCCTCTTGATCCCGCCCCCCCTTGCCCCCTCCCCAGGAGAGGGGGGGCGCGGTGAGGAGGGCGAGGGGGCCGAGGGTGCGGGTGCGGTGTGGGAAGCCGCGCATAGGCCCTGGCTCCGAGTGGTGCTTCTCGACGAAGGCGGTCCACTCCGCGATGTACGTGGAGCCGGCGCCGGTGCCGTTGTCGCCGTCCTCGTCGTCCTCCTCGTCGTCTGCCTCGGCGGCGTCGGCGTCGGCGTTGCCACCCTTCTTGAAATTGGCAATGACGATGGGCACGTAGTTGTACATTTCTAGAAACGACAAGTCAGCACCGATCTTGTTGAAGCTGTTGTTGAGGTCCTCGGGCGCCCAGATGGCGGGCCGATCGCGATCGCGACCCGAGCCGATCGATCTGATCGAAGTAGATTAGATTAGATCTTCGAGTCCGACCCCGATGATCGGATCCGCTCCGATCCGATCAGATCCGACGATCGGGACCCGATCCGATCATCGGATCCGACCTAACGCCAATCGAGAAACGATCCGATCCGGATCGCTTCTCGATCGTTCGGGTCGCTTCGGATTCGATTCGGATCGCTTCTCGATTCGGTCGGGCGAGAGACGCTGATCGGATCGCTCATGACTCATCGCCGATCACGCCTGATCGCAGGGCCCCAGGGCCCAGGAAGGATAGGGGGCGCAATCCTTGAAGTATCGCAGAACATCGTCGGTCGACCTGGGATCCAAGACGGTGATGCCCGAGATCCCCGCAGCCAGCGTCTCGAGAACCTGCGGGTTGTCTGGCTGCTGGGCGAACGCATCGTAAACAGCTTCGATGCGAGTGGCGCAGCTCATCAGTAGGTAAGTTCGCCCCTCTTGGAACGACGACGGCACGGCTAGCACCTCCCCCATGATACCCTGCACGAGCCCCTGCGCCAAGACGCCATCCTTGTACTTGGCACGAGTGTCGGCCTGGGCGCGGTTGTTCAACGGGTGCCGCTGGAATGTCCTCACTGTCCTCTCCTTGTCCTTGAAGAACGGCGCGGAGACATTCGTCTCGATGACATATTGGTTCCGGGCAGCACGTTGGAGAACGACCCCCTTCAAGCTAGGGAATCTTTCATAGATCGACATCCACTGGCCCGCTGGCGGGCCATCCAAGCGAGCAAGCAAGCATTTTTCTTCCCCCCATTGGGCCCATCGGGCCCAGTGATGCTTAGTGGAGTCGTTTCGAAGTTCATCGTCGTCGTTGGCGTCGTCTCGTTGTCGCCTAGGTTGCTTCGCATAGGTGCGAGGGCAGGCGGTGAATTGCCGAAGGGCTTTATGGACGAGGCTCCCATCCCACGGAGAGAGCGGTGGCGCGGGTCTGCTCGGATTGCGCTGGGTAGAAAGCGCAGCTGGCATGGCGGAGCGTGCTGGTCGGGCGGTCGGGCTCCGCGCTCGCGACTCCAGGGGTGGCGCAGCAGAACTTATCTGCAAAACAGCCAAAGCCAAAAATGCTTCGACGCAGCAACGGCCAACCAGCCCTCTGGGCGCAGGTGGTCACCTCAGGTGGTCTATGGCGTTTCCTCTTCCAACCTCCTTCCTTTTCCCCCTGCTTGGGAGGTTTACCTCAATGCGTTTGGGCGGGGGGTGTGTGCGCCTGTATCAATATGGCTCCAAGAGGGCCTCAGAGAGTACAAGATGGCTTCAAAGATGGCCCAAGATGGCCAGGCACTGTGTTCGATCGGATCGAAAATCAGATTTTGGGCCCGGGGGCGATGTTCGATCGGATCGAACATCCGATTTCGGGCCCGGGGGCGATGTTCGATCGGATCGAACATCCGATTTTGGGCCCGGGGGTGATGTTCGATCGCATCGAACATCATATGTTTGGCCCGGGGGCGATGTTCGATCGCATCGAACATCATATGTTTGGCCCAGGGACGATGTTCGATCGGATCGAACATCCGATTTGGGGCCGAAAAGGGCTCCAAGAGGGCCCCCTGGACCCCTCAAGATGGCTTCGAGACTGTCCAAGATACCCCCGAAGAGGGGCCCACAGGGCCCCGAGACGGTCCCGATAGCGCCCAAGAGCGCTCCGAGAGCTGGCCAAGAAGGCCCCAGGACTGCACTTGTGAGCCTCAGAGGGGGGGGGGAGGGGGTTCTGAATTAAGCCCCCCCAATTCTTCTTTAGCGAAAGTGTCCAGGGCGCGGCCCAAAGATGCCCCTCAGCTCAGACATCCCAAAAGAGCTCCGAGAAGGCCCCCATACCACCCCCCACCCCCCACCCCCCCCAAGGAAAAAAAAACAAACTAACAATCCCCAAGTGGGCCCCAAGACGCCCCGAAAGAGCCCCAAAGGGCTCCAAGGAGAGCTGGGGGCCCCAAGAACCCCGAGAGAGCCCCAAGATGGCTCCAAGTTTCGAAACGCACTTGAGTTTAAGATGCAAATAAGCGCAACAGCCATTACGATTATTCGAAACACACATCGCCCCTCATCTTGCACTGATTTCCGCCGTAAAGTAAAGTATCAGGGAAGCTATTTGTGATCCTTGTTTTCCCGCAGACGGTTGCGCGACTGCGTGCGTCCTGCCGCCTCTGATTTACCAGCTCCCCTGCTGATCGTTTCTGGATGGGCTGCTGGGGACACGCGTAGCGTCAAAACAAACGAGGTTTCTTCCGAGGTCCCGTGGGCACGGGCCGTGGTCGAGAGACCTGGGCTTGCAAGGATTTCGGGTTGGATCCAGTCGCGGAGGCGAGTGATCTGAAGAGAGAACGGCACGGCCAGGCACGGCCAGGCACGGCGGTGACAGCAGCGGTGGCATAAAGGCCGACAGAAGGGACTCGAATCGACAATCGACACTGTTCCCCTGCCCCCCACAAGCCAACTTCGCGGGGGGGTCGACGGCGCTGTGACTTAAAGGGTTGGGTCTGCCCGGGATTCCGACGCCTTCTCTCTGCCGCGCGCCACCCGAGGCGCTGCGCTGGCAGGGCGCGCGGCGTCGCGGCCACGCTGCAGCCCCTGGCCCCGAAGGCCCCTCGCCCCCCAAGCTGCGGCACGCCGAAACCAGCTGAGGAGAGGCGAGGAGAGGGGGAGCGGGAGGGAGGGAGGGGGGGAGTGAGCTCGGAGGATGGAGAGATGGAGAGATGGAGGGAAGCCCGGAGGGAGGGGCGCAAGCGCCAGGAGCGCGTGGCTGGAATGGAACGGGGGGGGGTGAGGAAGAGGAGGGAGGGGGAAAGGCTCCGTGACTCTGCATGTCGGAAACGACCTTCCAGCGCTTCCTCTCAGCCCGTCGCGGGCGGGGCGAGGCGCCAGGATTGACGCAGCTATAAAGCAGCAATCCAGGCAGTGATGAGAAAACCCGCAGTCTCAACACGCGCCGCTGAAGCGGCCGCCCACTCTTGTGTACAAACTACCTGCGACGAGTCCGATGGCCTCCAAGAAATTCCTAACAAGTATCCCTAGTAGACGGGCAAGCGCACGTCGCACGCGCGAGCATTGAAATGCCGTCAGGCTTTGAGGCATATGCGCATGCTGAGGAGTTAACGAAGGGCGCAGCTGGCTAGAACTGAAATCTGATCGGCGGCGGTCGGGTCGGCAGTCAACGTCGCATTGCGATGAGTGTGTGTGTGTGTGTGTGTGTGCGTGTGTGTGTGTGTGTGTGTGTGTGTGTGTGTGTGCGTGCGTGTGTCCAAGCTGCTGCGCTCGTGTTATACACGCATTCTTATCTGCTGACCGACCGACCAGCTAGTAATCTGAAAACTCGCTGCGGTGCCCACTTGGGACTCCTGACTCCCCACTTGGAAGGTGCGCTACTTGCGCAAGAAAGCGGAAGCGAAGCGGCTCTTCTTCGCATCTAGATCAAAAGAAATAGGTGCCGCGCGCTTCTGCCCGCCGTCGGTCGGGCCATGGGAATGCACGGCGATGCGAACACTCGCCGTGGTGCTGCTGGCAGCTGCCTCTGCGACGATCCTCGTGACGCCGCCAGAGCTGTTGCGCACGGACGCTGATGCCTCAGCAGCGGCGTGCACGTGCACGGGCGATGCAACCCTCCTCGGGCTTGGGCTCGGAGGCAGAGGCGGCCGCCCGATTCCGCCTTCGCTAAGTGCAGGCGAGTTCGAGCGGCTCCTGTTCGATTGGGCCCACGGGCCCACCGACGGGGAAGACATAGCAATGGTCGGAGACAAACTGCGGCTGCGCTGCTTGGACCTCATGGGGATCGTCTTAGCAGACAGGCCCGGGCTGCTCCCGGACCTTGCCGCTGGCGGCGTGACAGGGGCCATGCGAGAGTCGGCGGCGTCACTCGACGCGCTGGTGGCCGGGACGAGAAAGCGGCGGATGTCGCAGGCGCCCTTCGACGCCTTCGACTCCGTCGCCGCCGGGCCCCCCGAGTCAGGGGCCGCGCTGGCGCTGTCCTGGCACTGGTCCTGGATTGCCTGGATCTGGCGCGGGAGGCCCGGGAAAACTGGCGCGGCGGCAGCTGGCGCCGCGGTGGCCCGGCGCCCCAAGTTCGGGAAGGCGATGATGCAGCCCCCGATGCACGCGCCCATCACGTTGACGTGATACGCATTCCCCAATTGCTTCACACACGAAGCCCTGGTCCTGAGCAGGAGGTGGAAAGGCGGGGCCGGGGGGGTCGGGTCGACTGAGATGAGGGGGTGGGTTGCCAGTGAGATGAAGAGATGAGGAGGCAGCCCCCGTGCGGCCGCTGGTCTCATGCGGACCCGCCCCCTCCGTGCCTGCCGCCCCTCTCCTGCTTCTTCTCGCAGCTCCTCGCGCTCTCATCCGCCTCGCCTCTCCTCCTCCATCTCCTCCTCATCTTCCTCGGCCTCCTACCCTCCCCCCCCGCCCATGTTCATGGCTCAACGGCTCGGTGGCGGGGGGGGGCTCAAGCACCAAAAACAGCTCTTGCCCACTAAAGCTCTAGAGTCAGAAACCAGGTAGTGGGCAAGAGCGCAAGAGCTTTTCGAAGGGCACGGGCATGGCGCGGCATTGTCGCCCCCCTGTCCTCTCAGGAGGACGCAGCACTCCGCGGCTGAACTGGCACACCACCCCCGATGCCCGCTGAGCCGCCTCGCTGATGGGATAGCCCATGGCCGTCATCATCTCCTGGGGGGTGATCAGCCTGGCGTCGCGGACGGAGTTGCCGTGCTCATCCGCGCCAGAGTCCACCAGCACCCCCGTCTTGGCAGTCAGAGTGTGCAGCGACCACGGCCCCCTGCTGTGCACCATCCTCGCCCGCGGGTTCTGGCCGACGTCGTAGCAGCTCCCCGGCGGGGCGTTCGCGAGGTAGAAGAAAGATCGCACTAGCTCAACCTCGCTGAGCAAGCTGAACGGCTTCTCCCCCACGGGGTGCCCGACGAACTCAGGGGTCCTCCGCAAGAAGTCGTCGACGTCCTTGTTCTTGACAGACGGGCGGTTGCTGGACCACTGCTCCTCCTCGTCGATCTCGCGCTGGTCCGAGATGAGAAAGATACTGGCCCACGTGAGGCCGTCGGCAACATCCCTGGAGAACATGCCCTTGATGAGGTGCGCAATGCCAAGCCAGTCATCATCGTGCGTCGGCAGCATCGGCGGTGCCCTGCCTTGCGCGTCAATGATGGGGTTGACGAAACTCTTCAAGAGGAGAATGCATATGCTGCGCTTGCGATTGGCGGGCCACCCAAGCTCGCTGGGACAAAGCTTGATCCTGATGACCCAGTACAGGTCCCCCAGGGCTGCCAGGATCTCCGTGGGCAAGAAATCATAGACGTTCTCGTGAAACACGATGCGTTCCTGAAGGTAGCGGCGATGGCCAGCCCACTGAAAGAAAAACTTAGCGTGCTTCCCTCTCATGAACATGCGAGCGCGGTTCGCAATCGAACAATCCTTGCACGGGGAGCCAGCCGTGTGCATGTCTGCGCTGGCTGGGGCGCAGAGCCGCTTGTGCTGGTAGCACCACGCCCTTGATTTCGCAACAGAGAAAGGAAGGATGTCGCGCAACTCATCAGCTGTCAACTCCGGCCCCATCCCCTGGTAGCCAACCTGCGATCTGAGCGAGTCGTCGGTGAAGTCCAGGATGTTCTCGAAGATGCAAGGCTTCTCATCCAGGGGAACTGGCACTGGAGCTGCTGCTGGCGGCACGGGCTCGGGCCCGTAGAAGAGCCGATGGGATGCCTCCAAATCGTCGAGCGCGGCGATCTCCACGCGGCACTTCTTATCCCATTCCAGGGACCACTTGTGCACGACGTTGAGAGGCTCATCCACGAGAAGCCCGACTGGCAACTGACCTCGCAGACGCCGAGCATCTTGAATGTCCTGCTGGCGACTCTGTCATCTCACTTACTCCCGTCCTCCAGTCAGCCATCCTCCTCCCTCCTGTACCATCCCCCCCCTTGCATATGCTACTCTCCTCCTCCCCTCGCCTCTCCTATCCCCCCCTGAACACAACAAATAGAAATAGAAAAGGATTCCTGTCCGCGTGGGCGCTGTGCGTTTGAGTTAGACCTCCCTGTCTCACCTCTCTCACGCCACCTCTCTTCTTCTCCCTCCTCCTCCTTCTCAGCTTCCCCCTCCTCCTACTCCCCGTTATCCTCATCCTCATCTCTTCCCTGTCACCTTCCCGCGTGATGTTTTACGTGAACACACGCATGGCATTCCCCACTGCGGTCCTCGACAGTCCTCAAGGAGCCCCTCTGGAACATGGCCGCGCAGATCTTGTCAGTGCCAATGCCGCTGAAAGAGCTCGACATAGTGATTGTGCGACCGCAGAGGGCAGTCACCAAGTTATCCTCCGACATGGCGTTCGAAGATACCAAGCGGCGGAGGCCGTGTTCCGCCCACCTGCTGGCGTGGTCCAGGTCGTTGATGACCTCCACGTCAGGCTCAGTCAGACTCCCCAGCAAGATGTCGGCGTTGATGCACGTTGGCGCAGACATGACAGGCGAGACAAGAGCGGGTGCACCCTGGGGCCAGGCGCACGGGCAATCCAGGAAGGGAGTCAGAACAAGTGAGCGAACTCACGCAGCAACAAAATTTGAGCCAATAATGGCTCATACGACGTGTCTCAGCAGCGTATAACCGCCAGAGGTCACTCGGTTGAAGGTCCCGGGCAGGTAAGTGATCAGTGGCCAGGTCAGCGCACATGCTGGAATTAGTATGTACCCGAAGCTCCGGTGTGAAAATTATGGCTGACATCTCCCCCATCGAATTGTGATGGAGTCTCCGCGGGTTCCGTTCTGTGGCTAGACCTGGAACTGCTGATTTTAAACGACATTTAAAATATCAGTGTAATTTTAAACGGCGGGCCCCGGGTTTAAAAAACACCCCCTGTTTTTTTAAATGCCTGCCACTGTGTTTAAAATATCGACCCTGCGCATTTTAAATGGACCCCCCCATCTTTAAAAACACACTCTGTTTTTTTAAACGAGGGCAGTTATGTTTTAAAAAGTTGTTAGATTTTAAATGTCGTTTAAAATCAACCGTCTGAGGCTGGGATCTCGCGCCAGTTCGCGACGCTCATTTGAGCGTGTCTGGGCGTGTGAGAACAGCTCATATTGATGATTTCGCATATGATTTTACATCACCCGAAGCTGTTGGAACACCGCAAGAGCTGAGCTGAACGATCCCCCCCGACGCCAGCCAGGCGACGCGCAGCTGGCCAGTGCCGCCTTGCTGCAGCGCACTCTGACTGTGCCAGGAGCCTCCGCCCTTTGCGCAGAGCAGACTGGGATGGGCGCAGCAGTGCGGTGCGGAACCATGAACGAGGGGAATGATGGAGAGACCCGACCGCGTCGGGCGAGGTAGCGACACGGTGAGCAGAGGGGATACCTACGAGCACAAGGGGACGTCGATTGCTTCGTCTCCGATTCCATCACTCCTCCAGCCAGCCCGACTCGCCGACTTGCCATGCCATCCATGCCATCCTTTCGTTCCTAGTCTGCACTCCTTCCTACCCCTCGTCTCTATTTCCTTCAAGTCTTCCACATTTTGATATCTCTTGCTCTCCGCTCTCCGCCCTTGCCTTCCAACCGCCAAGAGGGCCCCCCTTGTCGCACCTATGCGATGGAACGGGCGGGTGGGTGGATGTTTGCTCTTCATTTTTGCAGCCAAAGGCTCGCCAGAGCCAAACGTTCAAAGTGTTGTTTGACTGGCCTGGGCTCGAGAGCAGCACGGCATCGCTCAGCGCCAGCTGTCTCAACGCAACTCACCACCCCTGGAGGGCGAGAGGGCGAACGAACGACGCGCGGCAAGGAGGGAAGTGCACCGACTCACGCTCACTCGGCGAGTCTCTCAGCACCACTCCCTACTTGTCGCGTCGTTCGGCACCCCCATCTCCCTCCCGTGGGCGCGTTGTTCTCGGTCGCCACAAATGTCGAGGCCCGCGCGCAGCGCGCTGGGCCCTCCGGGCGAACGAGGAAAACAGCACGTGGCAACGAATTTGCAAACACCTGACAGGAGCGGGCTTGCTGGCGGCGCTGGAGGCAGCGAGGGCCGCCCAGCGACTGCTGGAGGCGCTCCACGTCGTCCGTCACCGTCGTCGTCGTCGACGTCATCGTCATCGTCGAATCGTCGTCGAATCGTCGAATCGTTGAGGTCCTCCTCGTCGGGTCGTCGAGTCGTTGTCGAGTCGTCGGCGTCGCCGACGCTGGGTCGCCGTCGTCGCCGCCGAGTCCATCGATGTCGTTGTCGTCGTAGTCCTCGGTCCTCGGGCCGTCGTCGGGCGCCTCCCCCGCCCCTTGCAAGGGCGGCCGCGCCCTGCAGCGCCCTGCAAGCCAGCGGCGCCAGCCACGGCCAGGCGGCGGGCGTCGGCGCGTCGGCCACGGGGCGGGGGCGGGCGGGGGGGCATCCTCACCTTACGCTTCTCACTCCCTCATCGCCCTCGTCCTCCAATCTCCTCCGCTTGCTCCTTCCTCTCCCCCAGCCACTCCGCCATCTCCTTCGGTTTCACCTCTCTCTCTCTATTTCTCTGTTTCTCTCTCTCTCTATCTCTCTCTCTCTCTCTCCCTCTCTCTTTCTATCTTTCTCTCTCTCTCTCTCTCTCTCTCTCTCTATCGCTCTCCCTCCCTCTCTCTCTCTCACTCTTTGTTTTGTTATCTCTCTCTCTCTCTCTCTCTCTCTGTTCTCTCTCTCTCTCTCTCTCTCTCTCTACCTCTCTCTCTTCCTCTCTCTCTCTCTCTCCCTCCCTCTCTCTCTCTACCTCTCTCTCTTCCTCTCTCTCTCTCTCTCTCTCTCTCTCCCTCTCTCTCTCTACCCCTCTCTCTCTCTCTCTTTCAGCGCACAGTCAGGTATCCCGAGCGCCGGGCACACAGGCGCCCCCAGACAATTTGGACATCGATATCCAAATTGTCTGGGGGCGCCTCTTCCTGTCTCCTGTTTCCCTCGCTCTCTCTTGTCTCCCTCGCTCTCTCTCTCTCTCTCGCTCTCTCTCTCTCTCTCTCTCACTCTCTCTCTCTCTTCTGTCTCCTGTCTCCCCCCCTAACGCCCCCGCAGTGGCCGACATTTGCCCATCGAGCAAGGCGCGCTATCAGCACAGAGAATGCTGCGACAGTTCTTGGGCACTCTGCCTACCTGCCGCACCAGGCAGCAATCACGCCCTCGCAAGGGATACAAAAAACATCAGAATTAGCGAAGACGTCGAACAAACAGCCGTCCCCTCTCGGGGCAAATCCCTCCGCCAAAATGCCGCCCCCCACTGGATGCCCTCGCAAGTGGTGGAGGGCGGCGTCAACTGTCAAAGTCTGCAGACGCACGTCGAATGAACACGCGGGGCACTCATGAGCAAGCCCAGCTGCTACGTCGCCCTCAGCCCCTCCCAATATCCTGTCGCACACGTGCTTCACGTGAACAAAACAGTCTGGCATGTTTTCCCTGGCGAGACCTTTAGCCCTGATCATTTTGTGTCCTGTGTTCGGCAACAATACCCGCATGCCGTCGCGATCAACTCTAGGGCGCAGGTCTTCTATGTAGGCCGTGGAATAGAATTTTATGCCACCCCTCTCGTCAAGAACTGTCCGCCGAGCACTCTCAATTCTGCCCGCGGCCACGATTTCCCATGCGAGCCACTGCGTTCTATGAACCTCTGCAAGGGTGCCGTCATCCTGGGCAACATTGTCAATGAATACAACAAGGCCAACATACTGCTTTGCAGGAGCTGCATCGCAACAGAGGTTAGCCTCCTTGAACGCCACCAGAGTGCGCACCACGTTCTCCAACCAAGTGTCCACGTTGATGGCACCTGGCACGTCGACGGCATCACCTGGGCTAAGCTCTGCAGAGAGAGCGGCCAGGAATGGGGCTGTCTCAAGATAAGCCCCCACCCGAAAATATTGCTGGGGATGCCACACAGAAGTCCAAGGGGGGCCAACGCCTGGTTCCAGGAGCGCTGGATCGCACGGAGGCCCCGAGACTGCACGGCCGACAAGCAGGCCTCGAGAGAACCGAGCCAAGAGCCCCGGGGCCCCACTTTCAGCACGGGGGGTGGGCGGCGCCGCGAGAACCCACCCCGGGAAGACGCGGCGCCCTCAGACTGGGGCGACAAAGGGCGGGGCAAGGGAATTAAGAATCCAACCAGCCCTCAGGGCGCAGATGGTCTAGGGCGTTTCCTTTTCCAACCTGCTTCTTTTCCCTGCTTGGGAAGTTTACCCCCCCCCCCTCCACGCGTCTGGACGGGGGGGGAGGGGGTGGCCCATAGCGGCGCCCAAGATGGCCCAAGATGGCCCAAGATTGCCCCGAGAGAGCCTCAGAGAACGCAAGATGGCCTCCAAGATGGCCCAAGATAGCGGTAGATGGGTCAGATAGCCTCTGACACGCGCCCAAGAGGCCTCAAGACGGCCCCACAACGGTTTTACATGCTGCCCGAGGCCTCCGAAGACCCCCCCCCAAGAAGCCCAAATCCTTCAAACACCTAAGGAAAACCAATGTTGTTTGGTTCCTCGCGCTTTCGCATCCGATTGGTGGTGATTGGTTTTCGCCCGATTTGGGCCCGAGGGCTATGTTCGATCGGATCGAACATCAGATTTTGGGCCCAGGGGCGATGTTCAATCTGATCGAACATCCGATTTTGGGCCCGGGGGCGATGTTCGATCGGACCGAACATCCGATTGATGGCCCGGGGGCGATGTTCGATCGGATCGAACATCCGATGTGGGGCCGAAAAGGGCTCCAAGATGGCCCCCTGGACCCCTCAAGATGGCTTGGAGACTGTCCAAGATACCCCCGAGGAGGGGCCCAAAAGGGCCCCAAGACTGCCCCAAGAGTGTCCGAGAGCGCTCCGTGAGTGGGCCAAGCGGGCCCCAGGATGGCACTTTTGATTGAGCCTCCGATGGGAGGGGGGGGGGGCGGTCCGAGTCGAGGACCCCCCGCTTTCTTAGCGAAAGGGCCCAAGACGACCCCAAGAGGGCCCTTGGGCCCCCCAGGCGTTCCAATAGAGCCCCAAGAAGGCCCCCAGACCCCCCAGAATAACCCAAGAGGGCCCCAAGACGCCCCAAAAGAACCCCAGGAGGGCTCCAAGAAGGCCCTGAGAGGGCCTCAAGTGAGCCCCAAGAATGAGCTCCAGAGGGGTCCCAAGAGGGCCCCGACATAGCCCACAGAGAGCCCCCTGGTTGCTCCAAGTTTCGAAACGCACGCGAGTTTAAGATATTACCCCAGTGCGACCCTACCTAGAAGTTGGAGCCCCTAGGAAAGCAGCATTACTTGCTATGTCATGCTATGATATGCCATGCGATGCTACACTATGGTATGCTATGCTGCACTATGCCGTGTTATGCTGCGCTATGCTATGTTATGCTATGATATATTGTTTTATGTTATGATATGGTATGGTATGGTCTGATGCGCTATGATATGCTATGTTATGTCATGATATGCTCGGCTATGATATGCTATGCTGCGCTGTGCTATGCTGTGCTGTGCTGTGCTATGCTATGATATGCTATGTTATGCTGCGTTTTGCTATGATATACTGGGCTATGCTACGAGATGCTGTGCTGCGCTATGCTACGCTATGCTAGGCTATGATGTGCTCCGCTATGCTAAAGCTCAGTGGAGCTAAGATGAAGGTAAGCTAAGCTAAGATAATATAAATCTGAGCTAAGATGAAGCTGAGCTAACCTACAATGAAATAAGCTAAGCTAAGATGAGATAAGTAACGCTAAGCTAAGGGGACGTAACTGGGGGAGAGAGTGAACACCCTCTAGGCAGAGCCTAGGTAGGTAACAAAGCAGCGCAACAGCAATTACGAGTCACCGAACCACCCCTCACCCCTTATCGCCATCGTAGCCTGCACGGATTCCCATCTTTAACTTCAATGCGGGAAGCTACGCGTGATCCGCGTGATCCTTGCGCTCCCGAAGACGGCTGCGCGACTGCATGCGCCCTGCCGCCCATGATTCACAATCTCCCCTGGTGGTCGTTTCTGGTTGAGCTGGTGGGGATGCGCGAAGCGTCGAGACTATAGAAAAGCAAATCTCACATACACATGTCTGTATTCACCTAAGGAAGAGACCATGGCGGCCATGGCGTGGAGTCGGGCCCTAGCCGAGCGGACTCTCAACGGTGGCTCCACGAAACGATCTGCGGCTCTCATGGGCCAGGGGGTCTCTCTCGCTGCCTATAAGGGGGGGAGGGGGGGGGGTCTGGGTCGCGAGTAAAAACCGCCGCCCGCCCATTCTGCCCCCGGGCAAGGCGCGCGCGCGTAGAGCGCTCGGGCGGCTCATTTAGGCGGAGCAGAGCTCAGCGGGCCAAGGGCTAACAGGCTAACAGGGCTCCAAGAGTTGAGGGCCAAAGAGGGCCAAGACGGCCCAATCACGACATGTCAGCGATCATACTCCCAGAATACCGCTCGGGCCGCTCCGAGGAGGCCCTTCGGACAAACGAAGAGCTGGGGTTGTTCCGCCCAAGTTGAGCCCCCCTCCTTCTGCGCCCCCCTCCTTCTCCTCGGGCCAGTCACACACAAAAAAATGCCCTCGAGGGAACAACATGAGATGAGCGCGCGCAGCCGCCGCTGCGCACGCCAATCTTACGTTGTTTTCTCTGAACCGAAGAGGGGGAGGGCGGAAGCGACGCGCGTGGCCAGTCACAACAAAAAAGAAACACCAGAGGGAAACAAACACATAATATTGACATGCGCAGCCTCCGCTGCGAATGTTCTTGTGCGTTTAGTTTTGGGCGGCTGGCCTCGAACGTTGGTTCCCCCCGTTCTCGTCCTCCGCCGCGGTCGGCCGGCCCTCTCCTCCTCCTCCTCCTCCACCTCCTCCTCCTCCACCTCCTCATCCGCCTCCCTCCTCCTCCTCCTCCTCCTCCTCCTCCTTCTCCTTCTCCTCTCCCCATCCTGGTCCCCCTCCTCATCCTCCGTCTCTCCCATCTTTCTTCTTCCCCTCCTCCTCCTCTCCTCCTTCTCATCTGAGCCCCTCGCTTGGAGGTCGGAGGTCGGCCCGAGGTCGGCCAGCAGCGGCGGCCTTCATTTTCGTCGCCACGACTGAACCCAGCTCGAAACGTTGACGAATTCGGGCCCCGGTGGAATAGCCGAATGCAACAAGCAACCTTTGCAATGCCTTTGCAATATGTCCAGCACCCGCACCCGGGGGGGCAGCATCCTCTCCGCCAGGTCCGTCAGGCGGGTCAAGACCAGCAGCGACGATATCTGCGACGTAGGCGTGGTTCTCGTAGCCCTCCTCCGCAGCCTCTGCAGGGAAGTGCCCAGCTGGGTCCATCGCCTCGCCGATCCACGCGTCTAAACCAGCAGCGCCAGCGCCATGCGGAATCGGGCCGAACTCGAAATCATCGTCAATGACGCCCTCTAGCTGTTCGACGAACAGTCGGTGGCCATCGTCGTCCGCGTCCTCCGCGGCTTCGTCGTCTGCAGCCGCCTCAGACATGATATACTCGTCAGCAATGTCGTCGTCGCCGTCGTTGTCGCCGCCCCCCTCGGCGCCCGCAGCAACGCCAGCGCCGCCCCCGCCGCCAGCTGGCCTCTTCTTGCGGCGGATGGGCGCCAGGCACCTGGGGCCGAAGGGGGGTCGTTCTCGTCGTCGTCGTTCGTCGCCGTGCCAGCGCCAGCGTCGTCGACGCCGTCGCCATCTAGACCCGCGACGCCGACTCAACTGAGAACATATGCAGGACCCACGTGCGAACCCTACTACCCCCCTACCCCTCTCAGAAATCGCGGGGGGGGGGGAGGGATCTGATCAGGGTCCGCACTTGGGCCCGTGGACCCCGAGTGGACCCCCTACTCTGAGATCCCTGGACGGGGCGGCCCGGGACCCCCCGAGGCGGCCAAGAACCAGGAGTTAGGGGGCCTGGCGCCTGCGTAGCTGAACAGAGTCAAGCAAGAGCACCGCCTCATCGCTCGCGACGGCAACGTCCAAGTTCGCCCCCCATTCCAGCTCGCGCACCACCAGGCGGATGGCGGGGGCGTCGGAGTCAGCCTGCGAGTCAGCGAGCAGCGCAGCCAGCCTCATGCAAGACCACGCATCCTGAATGCGCTTCGGGGCCAGAGGGCTGCGCAGCCTAACTGTGGACCCGTCGACGTGGATGTCAAGCGTCTCCACCCAATACTCGCAATTGCCAAACTTGTGCGAGATCACCCACGCAGAATCACCGCCAATCGGCATCGGGTCGAGGAAGAACCCGCGACGGCAGCTCGGGTGCACGGGCCCGAGAACAGCCTGTGGCAAGCGAGCAACGGGGGTCAGACCGACGACGACGACATGGACATGCTGTGCGATTTCATCCAACCAGCCAGCGTCGGGACACAAGAGCAAGCAATCATGCCATTGCTAACTGGCGTCCCGTCGCCGTCTGCGCAGATGAAACCGAAGCACGACGAGACGACGATAGGACTGCGATGACAGCGGTGATGATGGGAGTCTCGGGTTAGCGCTCTCTCTCTCTCTCTGTGCATATATACATATATATATATATATAGATATATATCAATATACTTATCGATATAACCATATATCTATATCCTTCTCTCTATCTCTCGCATTCGCCCTCGCTGTCGTCTGCCCCCCCTCCCCTCTCTTGGCCGATCCTTGCCTCTCCACTCCTCGCCTCTCCTCTGGGCTCCTCTCCTCTCATCCTCGTCATCTTCATCCTCATCCACCGTTCACCCCCTCCCTCCTCTCTCTCTCACTTTATTTTTTCTCCTCTCCCTCTCTCTCTCTCTCTCGCTCCCTCTCTCTCTCTTTCTCCCTCTCCCCTCATGTATTTCTTTCTTTTGTTTCTCTCTCTCTCTCTCTCTCTTTCTCCCTCTCTCTTGCTTTCTCTCTCTCTCTCTATCTATATATCTATATGTATGTATAGATATCCCTCTCTCTCTTATTTCGTTGTTTTTGTTTGTTCTCTCTCTCTCTCTCGCTTACTCCCCGGACTCATCCGCCCCCCTCCACTGCTCTCGCCGCGTTCGCCCTGGGGGTCCTTCGCCAGCGCGAACACCCTCCAGGCGAAGCGCATCTGCGCGGCCGCCGCCAGCGCTGCTGGGTCCCGGGCGGCCGCCGGCGCCGGCGCAGCCGCTGCCCCAGCAGGCGGGCCAGCCCCGGCGGGGTCGGGCGCGGCGGGCGGCGCCGGGAGCGCATCGTGCAGGGGGCCAGGCACGGGGATCGGGATCATGTCCCAGCGGCCAGGGTCGTCGTCGTCGAGCGGCAGAGCCTCGCGCGGAGAGGGCGGGCAGAGGGTGTCTCCTTCCACTTCCCCTGTCCTCCTCCTCCTCCTCCTCCTCCTCCTCCTCCTCTTCCTCCTCCTCCTCCTCCTCCTCCTTCCTCCTCCTCCTCCTCCTCCTCCCTCCTCCTCCTCCTCCTCCACTCCTCCTCCCCTCCTCCTCCTCCTACCTCCTCCCCTCCTCCTCCTCCTCCTCCTCCTCCTCCTCTCCTCCTCATCCTCATCCTCATCATCCTCATCCCCTCCTCCTCCTCCCTCCTCCTCCTCCCTCCTCCTCCTCTCCTCCTCCTCCTCCTCACCCCCCTCCCCCTCCCCCCTCCTCCTCCTCCTCCTCCTCCTCCTCCTCCTCCTCCTCCTCCTCCTCCTCCCTCCTCTCCTCCCCCCTCCTCCTCCTCCTCCTCCACCTCCTCCTCCTCCTCCTCCTCCTCCTCCTTCTCCTCCTCCTCCTCCTCCTCCTCCTCCTCCTCCTCCTCCCCGTCCTCCTCCTTGATTCCTCGGCACATTACCCCCCCATCATGTGGGAGGGGCGGCATTAAGTTTCACGTGCCGTTCCTGGGCATGATCCGCGACGCACCCTTCCAGGAAAGCCCGGCGCTGCTCTGGCGACTCGAGTCTGGCAACGGCCTTCTTGATTGTGATGCGGCTCGACAGCAGTGGCAGCCCGATGTTCGGCGCTAGTTTCCCCACGTGCTTCACTATGGAGTTGCACCCCTCGATCTCCTGTGTATCCCCGAACCACAAGCTGGAAAGGTCTTCCAGGAAGCCAGACGCATTGGGGTCGAGGGTGCCTGTCGCAGCAGCGTGGACCAACGATTCCTGGAACCATTTGGCGAAATTGAGGGACGCGCGGCAGTCGATCTTGCCCTGGTGTTCGATGGAGTCGAGCAGCTCCTGATCCAGAGGGGGCCCTTGGGGCCCTTGGGCTGGGGGGCCTCAGGTGGCCCTTGGGGCGGCCCCGAGTCGGGGCCATCGGCGGTCGAATTTCACCCCAGGCAATCACATGGTAAAATCGGGAATCGAGTGAATAGAGCGAAGGAGGGAAGGGGGATGGGATGGGCAGAGAGGCTGGAGGGAGAGAAGCTCGGAGACAGGGTGGCGGGAGGGAGGTGAGGTGGGGAATGGGATAGGGATGGCATGGGGGGAAGCAGGGAAGCGGGCGAGAGTCGAGAGAGCTGACGGGCTGAGGCAGGGGAGGCAGGGCAAAGCGGCAAAGGATTCCTGCGCGACCGCAGCCCTCGAGTCTGGACCCGCGATGCTGACGATGTGCGATGGGACCTGGATCAGCTTCAGCAGCCGACACGGATATCCACTGAGGGGCAGAAGAATCCTTCTTTCGAAATCAGCCCGCAACTCCAGGACCAACTCCACAATGAGCGCCCTGAGTGAGACGGCGCGCTGCTCGCTGTCTCTGCACATATCGAAAACTGGCCCCCACGACATAGCACGCTCCCCTGGGCTCAACAACAGGGCGTCGTACATATGAGCAAGTTCCAAGAGCTTCCCATTCACCAATCTACTGACTTTTGGCGCATCCCCGGGCAGCTGTTTTTGTTGCATCCAGTTCAGCAGGCGGGCCAACGGCGCCCGAGTTCGTCTGGCAACCAGCACATGTACCCAGAAATCCAAGTCCGAAAGCGAACGCAAAGCGTCCCTGATCCAACGGCCCATCTTGACTGTATAGTTTTCCTCTCCGTCGTCGGCAGGGGCGACGCCGGCGCCTGGTGCGATTGGCCTGGCGTCGATAACAGGCCCGCCAGCGGGCCACACCTTCTGGAAAACAGCCAGCAGCTTGCCGACGTCGCCACCGCAAGCAAACTCCAAGAACTCCTGGGCCCCAGCAAAACAAAAACAAACCCCTTCCCGTTCCCCTCCCGCCGAAACGCCTACACGCCCAAAACCGTCAGACAATCGGACCACTCCGAAAAACTCTGGATCCAGGGTCCCTGGGTGCCCTCCGGGATAAGGTTGTTGATGCCCTGGCTCCTCAGTCGACGAGATCGTGCCCCACCGTCCACGAAGCGGTTTCGGTGGCAGGCGTCGCAAGTGCAGCTTGGCATCCGGGGTCCCATAAAGTTCAGCCCACGCACCGTATATTTTGGAACCATTTCCTGTAGCCCTCCACACATTGATCAATGTGGCGAGCCGAGAGTAGTATCTGAACCTGTCTAGGCGCTTTAGTTGTAGTTCCGCCGACCTGTGGACCAAATGGTCGACGCACCACTGCCAAATTATCATAACCCAGTCGCAATCTGCAAGAAGGCCCTTGATCAATCTAGACGCGCCCTGCTGGTCTGGACCTACAAGGACCGAAACAACAACAAAAACAAACTGCGATAACGAGTGCGAGCACTGGAAGCCAGAGGATTACGACGACTCATGAGAAGGAGCGGGAGGAGGAGGGCGAGGACGGGGAGGAGGAGATGGGGGGGAGGACGGGCGAGAGGACTCCGGCGCCGGACTCCGGAGTACGAGGGGGGAAGTTAGGAAGATGAGGATATGAGAGTAGAAAAGAGATGGGGCTTGAAGGAAGGACCTTTGTCCGTAGTAAACACCAGCGCCCGCAGGTGGCGCCGATGAGGCTGCTGCCGTGACGCGATAGGTTTCATGCCGACGCCCTCGGTCTGCTTAGAAACTAGCCTGACTTGCGAAAGCCCGTTGTTGTCGTGCGGCACAAGTTGCAGATCAGAATACACTTGCAGCGGTTGCAAAAGGTCGTCGTCAATGTCATGGTCACCTGCTCGCGCATTCTGCATCGATCACCCGCCCGAGAGATCGACGGCCCCGAACCAGGCCGACCAGGACCAAGGGAACCAAGGGCCTCTGGAGGCCCCAACCCCATCTCCACGCGTGGGGTCCCGGGAACTCTGGGGCCGAAGTCTCGGGACGTCTCGTCACCGCTCATCGCCGTCAGCGTCGGTGGTGGCAGCGGTGGCCGCCTCGCTCTCTATCTACTCTGGTCTCTAGAGATACTAACGACGACGACGAGACCAGAGATAAAGATATATAATTTATACATTCCCTACCTAGGCTCTGCCTAGAAAGGGTTCTTACTCTCTTAGCTTGAAGGGGCTGGGCAGTGCTAAGCGCCCCGGGCGGTTCCCCCAGTCCCCGCCCTGCGGTTCCCCCCAGTCCCCTGGGAGCTTTAGCTTTAGCTTTAGCTTTAGCTTAACTTTAGCTTAGCCTTAGCTTAGCTGTAGCTTAGCTTTAGCTTAGCGTTTCGCTTAGCTTTTCGCTTAGCGTTTAGCTTAGCTTCAGCTTAGCTTTAGCTTAGCTGTAGCTTAGCTGTAGCTTAGCTGTAGCTTAGCTGTAGCTTAGCTGTAGCTTAGCTTTAGCTTAGATTTAGCTTAGCTTTAGCTTACTTTAGCTTAGCTTTAGCACAGCTTTAGCTCAGCTTCAGCTTAGCTTCAGCTTAGCTTTAGCTTAGCGTTCAGCTTAGTTTTAGCTTAGCTTTAGCTTAGCTTTAGCTTAGCTGTGGCTTAGCTTTAGCTTAGCTTAAGCTTAGCTTTAGCATAGCTTTAGCTTGGCGTTACTGTTACTACTAATGCTGCTTTCCTAGGGGTTCCAACTCCTAGGTAGGGTCGCACTGGGATAATCTGTATCTCTGGTCTCGTCGTCGTCGTTAACATTCTTTCGACTCCCCTCCCGTCTCTCATCCTCGCTCGCCCTCTCCTCCGCCTCCCCTCCTCCTCCTCCTCCTCCTCCTCCTCCTCCTCCTCCTCCCTCCTCCTCCTCCTCCCCCTCCTCCTGCTCCTCCTCCTCCTCCACCTTCTCCCCATCAGCCTCCAACCCTCCTCCTTCGACTTCGTCTCCTCCTCTCCTCCTCCCCCTCCTCCTCCTCCCTCCTCCTCCTCCTCCTTCCTCCTCCTCCCCCGTGCCTCCACTGAGCCCCGGCTATCTAGTTCATTGGAACAGCCTAGTCGCCAGGCATGATGGGGGCGTAGTAGACGCTAGTCGTGCAGCACACGTGCACCTTCATGTTGAGGGACGCGGCCGCGCTGTTAGTCGCATCGGCCCTGACGGAATGTATTTCGTAAGACATCTGGTTGTTGGCACCAGCTCTGATGATCCGATTGTGCTGCCTCCGGTGCCAATCTCGCGCACGGCCAATGACCCGCCGACCCTGGGGACTCCCGAAGTCACGAAGGCTCGTTGTGGTAATCGTGCCTTGTTGCATTGCGCCGTTTGGTCGTTTGAATTGTTTATGGTCAGTGGTGTCGTTTGAATTTTCCGCGCACCCGAGCTCGTTGAAGCAGTGCGTCTTTAGCGGGGCACAGGCGGGGCGGCGAAGCCAAACACATGTTATTAGCTAGCTTGCGCTCCCACCTAGTGACACTCAGACCACTGATCGGCATGTCGAGCGCACTCACGAGGGCGCCGCTGCCAATGTGGCCGACGTTCCTCCTCAAAGCAAGCTGGTACCCGCCGTGCACACTGAGGTTCGACCGTCTGGCGCCCGCGCGCCGTCGTCTCCCGAGCTTGCACCCCAACACAGCATTAATTCTGTCACGCTCGACCTGGACCAATCTAAACTCAGCTAGTGTCGCCCGATCCTTCCACTTCTTATGTAATGCACGCAAGCGGTACACCTCCCTTGACATAACCTTGATTTTGGACCTCGCAGCCACCAATGGTTGGGCATCCTCATCGTCATCATCATCATCTGGCGCACCAGCGAGGGGATCGGGATCGGCGGCCGCAGCAGGCACGACTGCTCGTTGCTGCGCTTGCAGCGCGACAGCCACACGCCGTTCAATATTGACGAGCGCGCCCGGGGAGAGCCTGATGCCAACTCGAGCTGCAGCATCCTTGAGCACGACCAGTCCTAGACAGCCAGCGCCGCTGGCAGCGGCCGCACTGTCCACCGCTGCCTCGGCAGCGCGTCGAAGCGCGGCGACCTTTAGGCCGATGGTTTGTGATTATGTCTCTCCCGCTCCCCCTAAACCTCAATCTGTCTCCTCATCCCTCCTCGATCTTCTCGGCTGTCATCTCCTCCTCCTCCTCCTCCTCCGCCTCCCTGTCTCGTTGTCCCTCCGCTTCCTCCACCTCCTCTTCCTCCGCGTTATTATACCCATTATCCTCTTCCTCCCCGCGCCCACCCCCCATCTTTCGAATACTTACCTTATTCAAACATCTCTGTCTCCCTCTGCCCCCGCTAGACCCCTTCAGCCGCCTTTCCCCGCCCTTCGCTCCCCCTCTCAGTTCCTCCAGGCGCCTGTCCGTCCGTCCCCCCCTCTCCCTCCTCTAATTTCCCCCCCCCCTCCTCTGGCCCCCCTTCGTTCCGCCAGTCCCGAGAAAAAACAAAAAGCAGGGGCCTGCACTGGGCCCTCGCCGTCGTGGCCCGCGGCCAGCGCCGACTGGCACAGCACCGCGGCAAGGCTGGCCCGAGACGGGAAACATATCCCGTCGCCCGCCGGGGAAAGCCGCGCATGCTGCGCAATGGACCTCGCAAAATGCACGTCCATCACGCTCGCAGCCAAAATGGCTGCCCCTACCCTCTCCCCCAAGGAGGAGGAGAGGGCGGAGGCAGAGGGGGAGGGGGAAAGAAACAGACTTGAATACTGAGAAGGGTAACTACGTAACTACGACGAGCGGGGCAGGGGGATGCTTTGCTTTTGCTTTCGAGCCCTCAGTGTGCCACTATGAAAACGGAGAGGGCCATGCTGCAATGCACAAATAAGCGCGGACGCATACTTCCGACGAGCGATCTCCAACGTCACAGAAACGAATTGACCCAGCCAAAAACTAAGAGTGCACTGAGCTGGCCTCACCAGAAACCTAGGATGCACCAAAACGCAAGGATCTGAACTGTGGGATTCTACTTACTGTTGGTTCCCCAGACCTTCCCTGGAGTGCATTAAACTATTTTCAAGGCCCTCCTATTTGCAATCAGAGCACTATTTCTTATGGTTGGCACGTGGCAAACGCAACTCAACATCAAATTCGGGCAGTCGTGTTTTTACATCCAAACCTTATATTTGGCGTTTCCCCCATACGGTGTCGGATCACGTTGTTCTCTCGCCCTCTGTGTGTTTAGTGTGTCCCCAGCTGTCATGCCGTCGGCGCGCTGGGGTGCTGCCAGCAGTCAGCCGAGTGAGCAATCCCTCTCGGGGTCCTGGTGGATGGAGGGAATCGCGGGGAGGCGTGGCAGAGGCCTTATGCGTTCAGGACCTGAACCGTCCGCGGCCTTAAGAGAAGAGGAGGAGGAGGAGGAGGAGGAGGAGGAGGAGGAGGAGGAGGAGGAGGAGGAGGA